GGGGGGGGGACGGAAAGGCGGCAACACCGCCGGAAGTGGGTGGGGTACAACCGGAATGATCCCCTCAAAAACAACAAAAAAAACCCACCAAAATCCCGAAAAACGGAAATTTGGCCCCAAAACCGGCCCCGGCTCCGCCCTGAGGCCGCGGTTACGTCACGGGTTGTGTTTTTGGGCGGCGGTTCGGGACTTCCGGTCCGCGCCGCCATTACGGAGTCCCTTCGTGGGCACTTCCGGTCCGCGCCGCCATTACGGAGTCCCTTCACGGGCACTTCCGGTCCGCGCCGCCATTACGGAGTCCCTTCACGGGCACTTCCGGTCCGCGCCGCCATTACGGAGTCCTTTCGTGGGCACTTCCGGTCCGCGCCGCCATTACGGAGTCTCTCCGCGGTCTCTCCCATTCATCCCAATGGGAGCCGATTCCCCGCTTGGATTTCATCCCAAATCCCCAATTTTCCACCCAAAAAATCCCCCGATTTTCACCTCCCAAAAGCCACAATTTTCTCCCCCCAAAAAATTCTCAATTTTCTGCCGAAAAATCCCCAATTTCCCCCCCAAAATCCACAATTTCCCTCCCAAAAATTCCCAATTTTCTCCAAAAATCCCCAATTTTCCCACCCAAAAATCCACAATTTCCCCCCCTAAAAATTCCCAATTTTCCCCTCCCAAAATCCCCTATTTTCCCTCTTAAAAATCCCAAATTTTCCTTCCCAAAACCCTCAATTTCCCCCCCCAAAATAATCTCCAATTTTCCCTCCCAAAATACCAAATCTTCCCCCAAAAAGTCCCAATTTTCCCTCCCCAAAAATTCCCAATTTTCCTTCCCAAAATCTCCAATTTTCCCTTTCAAGATTCCCAGTTTTCCCTTCGAAAATCCCTAATTTTCCCCCAAAAAATTCCCAATTTCCCCCCCAAAAACCCCCAATTTTCCACTCCAAAAATCCCCAATTTTCCCTCCCAAAAATTCCCAATTTTCCTTCCCAAAATCTCCAATTTTCCCTTTCAAGATTCCCAGTTTTCCCTTCCAAAATCCCTAATTTTCCCCCAAAAAATTCCCAATTTCCCCCCCAAAAACCCCCAATTTTCCACCCCAAAAATCCCCAATTTTCCCTCCCAAAAATTCCCAATTTTCTCCAAAAATCCCCAATTTTCCCTCCCAAAATCCCCAATTTTCCACCCCAAAATTCCTCAATCCCCCCCCCAAAAATTCCTTAATTTCCCCCCCAGAAAATTCCCAATTTTCCCCCAAAATATCCAATTTTCCCTTCCACAATCCCCTTTTTTTCCCCAAAAAAATCTCCAACTTTCCTTCCCAAATCCCCAATTTCCCCCCCAAAAAAATTCCCAATTTTCCCTCCCAAAATCCCCAATTTCCCCCCAAAAAATCCCCAATTTTCCCTTCCCAAACTCCCCCATTTTTCCCCCAAAAATCCCCGATTTTCCCACCCCAAAATTCCGCTTTTTTTTTCTTTTTTTTGGCCGAATTCCCGATTTTTTCCCCCGGAATTCCCGGGAATTTTTCGCCCCTCCCCCCGCGGGTCCCGCCCCGCCCCTCCCCCACCCCCGGGGGGCGTGGCCTCCCCAAAATCTCCGGAATTTGCCCCAAAATCCGGCGGGGGGAGGGGCGGCGGCGGCGCCATGGAGGGCGCCGAGCCCCAGGTGAAGCAATTTGGGGAATTTTGGGGAATTTTGATCATTTTGGGAGAATTTTGGGCCACTTGGGGCGAGTTCGGAGCCGCTTCCGGGTGGGGGAGGGGAAATCGGGGCGGATTTGGGGGATTTTGGGGAAAAAATTTGGATTTTTTTTTAAATTTTTTGGGATTTTATTTTTATTTTTGGGTTTTTTTGGGGGGAGTTTTTGGAGAATTTGGGGATTTTTGAGGTTTTTTTGGGGGGATGTTATTTTTTTGGGTTTTTTGTGGGTGATTTTGGGGATTTTTTGGGGCTCAAAAGTGAATTTTGGGGGGTTTTGGATTTTTTTTTTTTTTTTTACTTTTGGCTTTTTTTGAGGAGGGAAATTTTGGGATTTTTTGGGGGGAATTTTTGGATTTTTTTGAGAGAATTTTGGGGGTCCCGGAGTGAATTTTGGGGATTTTTTTGGGGGGGAATTTTGGGGCGAATTTTGGGACGAATTTTGGGCAATTTGGGGCGAGTTCGGAGCCGCTTCCGGGTGAGGGATGGGAATTCGGGCGAATTTTGGGGAATTTTAAGGAATTTTGGGTCTCCAAGCAGAATTTTGGGGATTTCGGGTTTTTTTTGGCATTTTGGGCTCCTCCAGGGGCATTTTTGGGGTTGAAATTTGAATTTTGGCCATTCCCATGTGATTTTTTTGGGAGGATTTTTGGGATTCTTTGGGTTTTTTGGGGGATTTTGGGATTCCCAGTTGCCTCCCAGTATTCCCAGTTCAATCCCAGTTCAATCCCAGTTGAACTTTTTGGGTTCCCAGTTGGATTGTGACGATTCCCAGTTGGATTTTGATGTTTCCCAGTTGGATTTTGGCCATTTTGGCCATTCCCGGTGGGATTTTTTTTGGGGTTTTTTTAGGATTTTGGGGATTTTTGGGGGATTTTGGGATTCCCAGTATCCCCAGTTGCTTCCCAGTTCCCTCCCAGTATTCCCAGTTGAATCCCAGTTCAATCCCAGGATTCCCAGTTGGATTTTGACGATTCCCAGTTGGATTTTGGCCATTTTGGCCATTCCTGGTGCGATTTTTTGGGGGTTTTTTTTTGGGATTTTGGGGATTTTTTGGGGATTTTGGGATTCCCAGTATCCCCAGTTGCTTCCCAGTTCCCTCCCAGTATTCCCAGTTCTATCCCAGTTCAATCCCAGGATTCCCAGTTGGATTGTGACGATTTCCAGTTGGATTGTGACGATTTCCAGTTGGATTTTGGCCATTCCTGGTGGGATTTTTTTGGGGGTTTTTTTTTGGGATTTTGGGGATTTTTGGGGGATTTTGGGATTCCCAGTATTCCCAGTCCAATACCAGTTCAATCCCAGTTGGATTGTGACGATTCCCAGTTGGATTGTGACGATTTCCAGTTGGATTTTGACGATTCCCAGTTGGATTTTGGCCATTTTGGCCATTCCCGGTGCGATTTTTTGGGGTTTTTTTTTTGGGATTTTGGGGATTTTTTGGGGATTTTGGGATTCCCAGTATCCCCAGTTCTATTCCAGTTCAATCCCAGGATTCCCAGTTGGATTGTGACGATTCCCAGTTGGATTTTGGCCATTTTGGCCGTTCCCGGTGGTATTTTTTGGGGGTTTTTTTTGGGATTTTGGGGGTTTTTTTGGGATTTTGGGATTCCCAGTATTCCCAGTTGAATCCCAGTTCAATCCCAGTTGGATTGTGACAATTCCCTGTTGGATTTTGACGATTCCCAGGTGAATTTTGGCCATTTTGGCCGTTCCCGGTGCGATTTTTTGGGGTTTTTTTTTGGGATTTTGGGGATTTTTTTGGGATTTTGGGATTCCCAGTATCCCCAGTTGATTCCCAGTTCCCCCAGGGCCTGGTGCTGGTGCTGACGGGCGGCGCGGGGTTCCTGGGCTCCCACCTGGTGCAGGTGCTGCTGGAGGCGGCGCCGGAGCTTCGGGAGCTGCGGATCCTCGACCTCGAGCCCGACCCCGCCACGGTCCCGGAGCGCCACCGTGAGCCCCAAAACGCCCAAAATATTCCCAAAAATCAACCCCAAAACGCCCCCGATTCGCTCCAAAAATCCGCCCCAAAACCCCCAAAATATTCACAAAAATCCGCCCCAAAATCCCCAAAAATCAGCCCCAAAAGCCCAAAAATATTCCCAAAAATCTGCCCCAAAATCCCCAAAAATCAGCCCCAAAACCCCCAAAATATTCACAAAAATCCACCCCAAAATCCCCAAAAATCCGCCCCAAAAGCCCCAAAATATTCACAAAAATCAGCCCCAAAACGCCCCCGATTCGCCCCAAAAATCAGCCCCAAAAGCCCCAAAATATTCCCAAAAATATGCCCCAAAATCCCCAAAAATCCGCCCCAAAAGCCCCAAAATATTCACAAAAATCAGCCCCAAAATTGACAAAAATCCGCCCCAAAATGTCCCAGATAGGCCCCAAAAATCAGCCCCAAAATCCCTTAAAAAATCCCCAAAATATTCCCAAAAATCAGCGCAAAATCCCAAAAAATCCGCTCTGCAGGGACGTCTCTGACCTGGGGTGAATTTGGGGTGAATTTTGGGGTGATTTTGGCTGGTTTTGGGGCGGATTTTGGGGTGATTTTGGGATGATTTTGGGGTGAATTCAGGTGAATTTTGGGGTGAATTTGGGTGATTTAGTTGATCGGGTGCGGCTGCTCCGTGGGGACGTCTCCGACCTGGGGTGATTTTGGGGTGAATTTTGGCGTTTTCGGGGCGTTTTCGGGGTGAATTTTGGGATTATTTTGGCCGTTTTTGGAGCGGATTCTGGGGTGATTTGGGGGTGAATTTTGGGGTGAATTTGGGTGATTTTGGGGCAGGTGATCAGGTGCGGCTGCTCCGTGAGGAGCAGGAGCAGGTCTCCGACCGGGGGTGAATTTTGGGGTGAATTTTGGGATGAATTTGGCTGGTTTTGGGGCGGATTTTGGGGTGATTTTGGGGTGAATTTTGGGGTGGATTTGGGATGATTTTGGGGTGATTTTGGGGTGAATTTTGGGGTGATTTTGGGGTGGATTTGGGGTGATTTTGGGGTGGATTTTGGGGTGGATTCGGGTGAATTTTGGGGTGATTTTGGGGTGATTTTGGGGTGAATTTTGGGATGAATTTGGCTGGTTTTGGGGCGGATTTTGGGGTGATTTTGGGGTGGATTTTGGGGCGGATTTGGGGTGAATTTTGGGATGAATTTGGCTGGTTTTGGGGCGGATTTTGGGGTGATTTTGGGGTGGATTTTGGGGTGATTTTGGGGTGGATTTGGGATGATTTTGGGGTGAATTTGGGGTGATTTTGGGGTGGATTTGGGGTGAATTTGGGTGAATTTTGGGGTGAATTCGGGTGATTTAGGCGATTGGGTGCGGCTGCTCCGCGGGGACGTCTCCGACCTGGGGTGAATTTGGGGTGAATTTTGGGATGAATTTGGCTGGTTTTGGGGTGGATTTTGGGGTGATTTTGGGGTGGATTTGGGTGAATTTTGGGGTGATTTTGGGGTGGATTTTGGGGTGATTTTGGGGTGAATTTTGGGATGAATTTGGCTGGTTTTGGGGCAGATTTTGGGGTGAATTTTGGGGTGATTTTGGGGTGATTTTGGGATGAATTCGGGTGAATTTTGGGGTGAATTCGGGTGATTCAGCTGATCGGGTGCGGCTGCTCCGCGGGGACGTCTCCGACCTGGGGTGAATTTGGGGTGAATTTGGGATGGATTTGGCTGGTTTTGGGGTGAATTTTGGGATGATTTTGGGATGATTTTCGGGGTGAATTTTGGGATGAATTTGGCTGGTTTTGGGGCAGATTTTGGGGTGGATTTGGGTGGATTTTGGGGTGGATTTGGGATGAATTCGGGTGGATTTTGGGGTGAATTCGGGTGAATTTTGGGGTGAATTTGGGTGATTCAGGTGATCGGGTGCGGCTGCTCCGCGGGGACGTCTCTGACCTGGGGTGAATTTGGGGTGAATTTTGGGATGAATTTGGTTGGTTTTGGGGTGAATTTGGGGTGATTTTGGGGTGATTTTGGGATGAATTTTGGGATGATTTTGGCTGGTTTTGGGGCGGATTTTGGGGTGATTTTGGGGTGGATTTTGGGGCGGATTTGGGGTGATTTTGGGGTGATTTTGGGATGAATTTTGGGATGATTTTGGCTGGTTTTGGAGAAGATTTTGGGATGATTTTGGGGTGATTTTGGGGTGGATTTGGGATGATTTTGGGGTGAATTCAGGTGATTTTGGGGTGAATTCAGGTGATTTTGGGGCAGGTGATCGGGTGCGGCTGCTCCACGGGGACATTTCCGACCTGGGGTGAATTCGGGTGAATTTTGGGGTGATTTTGGGGTGAATTTTGGGGTGAATTCGGGTGATTTAGGTGATCGGGTGCGGCTGCTCCGCGGGGACGTCTCCGACCTGGGGTGATTTTGGGGCGGATTTTGGGATGATTTTGGGGTGATTTTGGGGTGATTTTGGGGCGGATTTTGGGATGATTTTGGGGTGAATTCAGGTGATTTTGGAGCAGATTTTGGGATGATTTTGGGGTGATTTTGGGGTGGATTCGGGTGAATTTTGGGGTGAATTCGGGTGATTTTGGGGCAGGTGATCGGGTGCGGCTGCTCCGCGGGGACGTCTCCGACCTGGGGTGAATTTGGGGTGATTTTGGGATGATTTTCGGGGTGAATTTTGGGATGAATTTGGGGTGATTTTGGGGTGAATTTGGGATGATTTTGGGGTGAATTCGGGTGATTTTGGGGCAGGTGATCGGGTGCGGCTGCTCCGCGGGGACGTCTCCCGGCTCGCCTCCCTCGGCCCCGCCATGGCCGGCGCCGGGGCCGTGCTCCACAGCGCCG